GGGGGGGGGGTAGGAAGGTGGCCTCCTAAGAAGACAGCAGCTTGGGTCACCTGGCTCGCTCCCGGGACAACAGGCTGGAAGGAAAGCACAGGACCCCTGCTGGACGGTTCTGGCTACCAGTTTCTTAGCAGACACTCCCCAGGTTTGCCAGCGAAGGTCCGGCAGACTCATGGGCCCACAGGCGGCAGGAGCAGGCTGTGCGGGGTGACAGGGGTCTGGGCTCCATGGGGTCACAGCCTTTGCACAGGAACAGAGGACAGACAGGCCCCTCAAACAGGGGGTTCACCCCCCCCACACACACACATCAGGAAGGAACCGTTTGCAGACCCTTCTGCGAGCGAGGGCCTTAAAACCACAAAGACGCACCGGGAACTGGGTGGCGTGAGCCGTGTGCTACCCCCCCTCCCGGGAACTCCCGGCCCCGAAGATTCCCCGCGGCCTAATCTGTGCGAGCAATGCAGTGTTGACAGCAAAGTACGAGCCCTTGTTGGACAGGTGTCCTGGGCTTGGAGAGCGGGAAGACCGGTCCTTTTATGGAAGGGGTGCGGCGGTGCGCGGGGGCCCTGCCCTCTGCGCCCTGCGCCCCACATCTCCAGGCCGAGCGCCCGCCCAGAGCCGGACGTGTGGCCTGAGGCTCCCGCTTGCCCTGCAGGGAATGTGTCCTGCTCTCGGGTTACGCCCAAGCAGAAGGGGCTTCGGGCTATTTGTAGTGTCCATGTGTCTCTGTCTAAAACCAGACTGGAGGCTGTAGTCCGAGCCTGGCATCTGCGTTTAGCGAAGGCTTAAACAAATAAAAATAGCCCCTTGAGCCCCTCCTCCCTCGCCCTCACAGGCCAGCCCCGTGCCGACCGCAGATCGTGACAGAGCCGGGGCAGGAGAATCCTCGGAACCTCGCTTTTAAGCCCCAGGCAAGGTGGGGCTCAGTACGTTCACTCAGAAATGATGGCACACAGGTGTCACCCCGGTTCTTGCTACACGGTGCCATTGAAGTGCCTTGCGCGTTTCCCTTTGGGCTTTTTCGCGGCGCGGGAGTTACGCTCCCATCGCTGTTACAGACACACCTGCTTCCTTTTAATTCGAAAGGCAATGGGGTGTGTGCCCAATAGTGTTCTGCCTTAACCGCACCTCAACTCTTTAAAAAGGGCAGTTGGGGCCTCTAATATTTTGAGACTTGAGTATTTTTATAAAAGTCATACCCTGATTCTGAAGTTTCATTCAACCCGCGTGTGCCGCTTTTAGGACTCGTGAGGTTACCGTTGTAGCTGCTGGGGTGGGGACCGGGAAGCCAGAGCCTTGCCCGCGACCTCTCGCCTGGGTTGTAGGGGTGACGGCGGGGTAAGGCCTTAGTGCCCACCCTGACCGTGGCCCTGAGGGCGAAGCCTCGCTGCCCAGGCAGGGATGCCGTGGGTGGGAGCCGGTGCAGAAGGGGGTCAGTGGACCCTCCCTGCGCGGGTTGGAACATCCTAGCCATTGTGGGCGGGAAAAGAAACCAGAAGCAGGGCACAGGAGAGGGTCCCAGGTGCCCTTTGGAGGCCCAGTGAGGGAACCAGAGAGATGTGGTGTCGGGGAAAGACGTGATGTGAAGATTCTCTTCCAACGCGTGAAAGGCTTTGGTGGGGAAGAAATTAGGCAGAGAACAGACTTGTGGGGCCATCCGTAGAAAGCACCCAGCGGCAAGTGAGCATAGGGAACAGGAGGGAAACTCTCCTGGCCAAGAGCCACCTGCGGAGGGATTTGACCGCGGGGCCCTGGGGCCCGTGGCCTGAGCCTGGAGAAGAGCAAGGCCAGGCCGGACTCCCCCGTGTCTGCAGGGTGCGTTCGGTTCTCTTCCGAGGCCGAGGTCAGGGCTTTAGTACGGCCCTCCTCTAACTTGGGGACCACTGTGGCCAGCGTCGTCGGGGAGTGATGGTCTGGTGCACATGCATGGCCCGCCCACACGCACCTGGTGCAAATTCGGGCCCCGCCCCCAGGCACCTGACCCGTACGTGGCCCCGCCCACACACACCTGGTGTGTAGGAAGGGCTCACTCACACACACCTGGTGCACGTTCAGGGCCCCTGCAGGGCACGCTCACACGCACCTGGCGGGTGTGCAGGCGGCCCTGGGAGGAAGGCAGGAGCGGAGTGCAGCAGGTGCTGACGGCTCAGAAGGTGAACTCAGGCCGGAGAACTTGGATTTGCAGCTCTTCGCCATTAACAAAGCACCTTCCCATGCCTGCCCTTGTCAGAGCTCGCGCTTCCCTGACCCCGAGCCTGGCCCTGGCCCGTCTGGGATGCCAGGCCCCCGTCACCTCACAAAGCCGCTGGATTCCGCCATTGGCCACCGGCTCCAAACCGAGGGGGAGAGGGCAGTGGGACCTGGGACAGACGTCCCCATTTGCTCTGACATTTGGTTAGTGATAGGACGTCTGGCACATGGCCAGCGCAAGATCCACCCGCGAGATCTGGTCGGCAGGCTCTGGGGTACAGGCCACAACCTTGGAGGTGGGGGTCTGATCTCTGCTGAGGACACGGCTAGCAGACCCAGGATCTGAACTCCGCTGTTTAGGTCCCAAATTCTGACGAAAATGGCAACCCCCGGGGACGTGTACTGAGCTCTTTCCAGGCACAGAAGCCGCCGTGCGACCTGCACTCCCACCCCGCCCCATGCAGGGGAGATGATTCCACGTGGGGGACCGGGAGCCCGGGAGAAGCCAGGTGTCTTTCTTGCCAGAGTCAGGGAGGACGGGGCCGGCCGTGAACCCCGACAGTCATGCATTTGTTGACGGGGGAGGCGGGGGTCCCTGGAAGCAGGGGAGTGCCCCGTGCTCGCTGCTGAGCAGGGGTGGTCACGGACCGGAGCAGGTGTGGGAGTTTGTTCCGGGCTGGGTCCCCCAGGCCCGCCGCTCTGCGCCCTGGGGAAGCCCGCCTCAGCCTCCGGAAGGACACCCGCTGTTATGTCAGGGCGTGGCGCTGACCCCTGCCGCTGTGGGCGCCGCCTCGTGGGTCGTGGGAGTTGGGGCAGCGGGGCAGCCGCTTTCTTTCCAGGGCAGTGTCTGCACGCATGTTTCCCAGAGCTCGAGGCACAGGCCCAGGGGTCGTAAGTGGAGGTAGGCAGGTTTCTAAGCTTGTGACCCGTCAGCAGGTAGTGACAGCAGGTGAGTGTTTCGTGACCAGCGTTCAGGAACAAGTGTGGGGCAGGAGACACGAAACGCCACGGAGGAAATCTCGGTGGTGAGACGTTTGTGAGCGTTTTCCGCGTGCACGTGCTGACCTGGGGTGGGAAATCACCAAGGGTGCGTCTTGGAAAAGTTTTAAAAGACGGTTTGAGAAGCCGTGTGGGTGACTTTTATGTTTTACTTCATTTTACATTTATTTTTCTAGCTCGTGCTGATTTCCCACGGCTGCTGACGTACATCGAAGTTTTTAGTGAAATTTAGTTTTTAAATTAAACTGAAATTTGACTAACAAAGTTTTGACTCGCATTTACTTTTTAAGTGGATTTAGTGAAAAGTTCAAAGTGAAATTAAATTTCACTGAAACTTGCAATAAAGTAAGTCTACTTAAGTCAAAACGTGAGTTGTCGCAGTGGTTCCTGGACGCGGGGGTCTGGGCAACCCGCCTCCGAGTAGGCGACTCCAGGGTCTCAAGGGGTTTCTCGGGGTCTGCTGGGGTCTCTGGGTGTCTCCAGGGCCCTGCTGGGGACTCTCAGGGTCTGCGAGGGTCTCCCAGGGTCTGCTGGGGTCTCCGGGTGTCTCCAGGGGTCTGCTGGGGGGGTCTCCCAGGGTCTCCTGGGGTCTTCAGGCATCTCTTGGGGGGGGGGGTCTCCTGGGCTCTCCCGGGGTCATGGAAGGCCCTGTGGGGACACCCCTCCTCTCTCCCCAGGGTGGCGGGGCTGGCCGGTGGCTGGGACCCTGGTCCTGACCCAGCTTCTGTGTTTCAGGAATCTGGCCAACTGTGAGCGCCTCATCGAGGTGGAGGATATGATGGTGATGGGTCGCAAGCCGGACCCCATGTGTGTCTTCACCTACGTTCAGTCTCTGTACAACCACCTGCGTCGCTTTGAATGAAGCCCGTGGGGGCTGGGTGGCCAGGGCGCAGGCCCGGGAGGACACTGTGGGGCGGCCCCACGGGAGTCGCGTGCGTTCTGGTGTGAGCGCGCCCTGGCCGCTGTGTCGCTGATGCGCCCCCCGCGCGCAGGGGCTCCGAGGAGGAGGGAGCGCGCTCGGTGCTACGTGATTATCTCCCTGCAAATAAAAGGCTTGCCTGTGGATTCTGGAATGTGAGATCCCTTTTCCCTTGGGCGAATTTGATACATTGGCTTCACGGGGTTACACTGGTTACCAAGTGTGTGTGCTCAAAATACCCAGAGGTTTTTTTTTTTTTTTTTACTTTCTCACTGTATCTTGGGTTCCCTTCCGCCGTCCCTGGGGCCTCTGCCGGGAAGCAGGGAGGACGCCCCAGCCCAGCCTGACGCGGAACCGTTCAGTCTCCCCCAGGTCCTGGGTGGCAGATGACCTTCAAGTTACCCTGGCTGGCTGGGCGGTGGGAAGGCCGTCACCTGGTCCCCAAAGCTCCCTGTCTCGGGAAGTTAACGCTTTGGGGGAGGACGAGACCCTTTGTGCATAGAGGTAGTTTTTATTCACATCTTTTTTTAGGGGATTTGCTGGAGATATTTATGAAAAGTAACTATGTACCATTGGCCGTTTGTACATAAAAAGATGTGTCAAACTTCGCTCTGGATTGGTTGTTTCTGTTCGGGACACCTGGGGCCTGTGGACGACAGAGTTTGCATGCATTCCAGGTGAAAATCTGCTCAAATCCCCCCCTTCTCTGCTTCTGCACCTAGATCGCTGCCCAGGAAGTTGACAACCACGTCCACGTACTTGTCAGTCGGGCTCCCTCGTCCCTGCTGCCGGGGGACGTGGTCTGGAACTCCCCTCGGGTTTCCAGGGGACTCTGGGCCTTGGCTGGTGGGTCTGTGATAACGGTGGCCCACGTGTGGAGGAAGCCCACCTCGGCCGCTGCTCTATAGTCACGGCGATTTGTGCTAGGGTTCTAACAACATCTTTAGGTCCTGCCAGGTGCAGTCTTTAGCTCCTTCAAGAACCATTTTCTTTCTTTTTTTTAATGTTTATTTATTTTTGAGACAGAGAGAGACAGAACATGAACAGGGGAGGGTCAGAGAGAGAGGGAGACACAGAATCCGAAGCAGCTCCAGGCTCCGAGCTGTCAGCACAGAGCCCAACACAGGGCTCGAACTCATGAACCGTGAGATCATGACCCGAGCCGAAGTCGGAGGCTCAACTGAATGAGCCACCCAGGCGCCCCTAAAAATTTTTTTTAATGTTTATTTATTTTTGGGGGGGGAGGGGCAGAGAGAGAGGGGGACACAGAATCCAAAGCAGGTTCCAGACCCTGAGCTGTCAGCACAGAGCCCGACGCGGGGCTCAAACTCAGGAACTGCGAGATCATGACCTGAGCTCAAGTCGGACGCCCAACTGACTGAGCCTCCCAGGCACCCCAAGAACCATTTTCTAATTCGGTTGGACTTCAGTCACGTGCTTGCAGAATTTCCCTTCAAGCAGCTAGTATGTTCTTCAGCTGGTGCAGTATGGGCTTCTGTGACCGCCTAGACGCACATGCGTGTCCCCCGTGTGTCGGGAGGGCAGGGGAACAGCTCTTTGGGGCGTGAGGGGGAACGTGGTGGGGTTTTTTGGGGGGGGGGCTGAGCAGTAGGTTCAGCAGATTCGCTTCTTCGGGACAAATTCTTGTTCCACGTTTTGGATTTCCCCACAGAGGGAACCAGGAGAGGGGCGGGGAGCCCTCTTGTTAGCAAAGACGCAGGGCCCGTTTTTTATCGTATTTTCTTTCTTCATACTGCAGCTTAGGGTTTCAAACCTAAAGCCGATGTGGGAACACAAGAGCCCTATAAAAATCATTTCTATATGTGACTGAGTATTCGCGCATGTTAAACGGAACTCTCCGGAATTGCAGATGTGGCCGCACACCTTCGCTCATAAAACAGAGCAGATCCTGCCGGGACAAGGAACGATTTCTCTTCAACGTTCAGAACGATACAGAGCGGGTACCGTTTAAAGCAGGGTCTGTCTGTGATGATCTCGTCTGTGGTCTTCAGGGAGATCTCGGATACCTCAAGGGGTTTCAAACCTCATTACCTCTAGGACAGAGCCTGACGGTTCCCGGGCTTGGGCAGAAAGTGCAGGAAGGCTGCACCACGTCAAGACATTAGGAAACCATCGTTTTAGGTCAGGGTTACTTAGAAGTTCCGTCTGCGAAATCCAATTTCAGGTACAAAAATGGCTTCACGTCTTTTTTCGTTTCCCTCCCCGGAGAGAATTACTTCTCAGCGTGCCTCTAAGATCCTCTCGCTTTTCCAGCTAGATTCCTTCACCTGGCTTTTGTTAAAACTTATTAAGTCGGACCAAACTGGCTTGTGTCTCCCTGACGTGAACGTTTCGCCAGAGCCAGCATGGGCTCTAGCCTTTCTGACAGCTGATGGGTTGTTTCTCAAGGCAAGTGAGAGCTTATAAGCACTTTCTGAATATGATACAGCACATGCTGGTTAGCAGAGCACGTACAGGCCAGGTGTTTGGGGAACAGTTTGTTAAAGCCAATGAATTTCGCAAATGGTGGAGAGGATGAGAAGTTCTCCGCGTCCCAGGCCACGGTGCTCAGGACTCTGTAACCAGAGGAGGCGAGTGGGGGGCACTATTTGCTGCAACGCCGGGTCTGTCGGACTCCAGGCGATTGGGTGGCCAGCTGAAAATGCTGGTTAAGTCGGTCGGTTGTGGGTGGGACATCTCCCCACCCAGCCGACGCAGCTCCAGACTGGGATTCTTGAACTGGTGACGGCTGACGCTTCTGTCTCCCTTCTCTTAGCCTGCTCTCAGGCTGCTGCTGATGGCAAATGTTCCGGTGTGACTGTCCATCCCATTTCCCTTGCTTCTAGCGCCTTTGATGTCTTATCTCTTGGTTCTTCGTCCTGCTTTGACATCCAACAGCCTCTGTTGTCCTTTGAAGAGCACATTAAAGATGCCTGGGCAGTCTCTCTCTGCCCCTCCCCTGCTCACTTCCTCTGTGTCTCTCTCACTACATAAAGAAACTTTTTAAAAAAATGCCTGGGCATGCCTCATCCCTAGGAAGCATCAAGCAAGGCAGAACACCGAGGAAGGAGGGAGCCGAGAATTCTGGGCTCTCCGGGGCATCCAGGCAGCCTCCGTGGGATTGGGCCGTCCGACCAGGTGTGATAAAGGGCCGCGAGGGGGCCCCGAACAGTAGGGCAGGTGACAGGGCTGGTGGCAGCAGAGAGATGCGTCCAGACCGGCCACGGCCATCCCTCCACTGGGTCCAGTGCTGGCACGGGACGCGGGGGCAATGTTGGACCCTCTTCCTGCCGCCCGAGGCCTCACCCGCACCTCCAGTTCCCCCGTCTTCCCGGCCTCTGTCGTGGCCCCCCTGCTCTCATCAGTGTCCTGAGGCAGAGAGCCATTAAGTTCCCAAGGTTCTGGTTCAGAAATTCACGGAAAAGCGGGAAGACGAGGTCGGCGGACAGGTGTACTCCTTTCGTGGATTGCGAGCACTGTGCCACGTTCCTGCTTGCCGAGCCGTGGGTAGGACGGCACAGAGACCGCGACGCTCGGGCCGAGCACTTGGACATCCACGGAGACACCCACGTCCTCCCGCACGCGTGTCTGTTAGCACACTCCAGAAATCAGACATTGATTCACCTGATGTACAGCCTGTTTTCAAATTTCTCTAATTGTCCCCACATGCCTTTCATGGCTGTTAACTGAAAAACCCCAGGGTCCCGTAGAAGTTCACGCGCCACGTTCCGTTGTTACGTCTTTTTAACGTCTTAATCTAGAACAGTCTTCCCACTCTCTGCGGTCTATTTTCCATTCGATCCTTTTCAAGAGCCCGGGCAGGGTGCCTCCCCGGCCGAGCCCCAGTCTGCACGTTTCTGTTTCCTCCCGACCAGACGTGGACAAGACGTGTTCGGCACAAATACACCCAGCGTGGTGGCAGGTGAGGGGCTCGCGCTGTGGGCTGGCCCGCCCTCTGCCGTGGGGGGGTTCGACTGCACACGCGCCTTTAGGGTCATCGAATGATGATTTTTACCTGAATCTGTAATGATGCCGGGCGTTGACTGGTGATTTATTTTTTTATTTTATTTTTTAACGTTTATTCATTTTTGAGACAGAGAGAGACAGAGCATGAACGGGGGAGGGTCAGAGAGAGGGAGACACAGAATCGGAAACAGGCTCCAGGCTCTGAGCTGTCAGCACAGAGCCCGACGCGGGGCTCGAACTCACGGACTGCGAGATCACGACCTGAGCCGAAGTCGGCCGCCCAACCGACTGAGCCGCCCAGGCGCCTCAGACTGGTGATTTTTAAACTCCACTCAAACTCACGAGTTCTTTTATTGTTTGTTTTTGTTTCGTTTGGTGGGTTGTAACCACAATGGTCCAAGGCCGGCCTGCCCGCTGGAAGGAGTCAGCTCTGGGGTCCCTTTGACGCGTCCCCAGGCATCTCCGGGCACCTCCTGCTTTGGGCACAAGGTGCTCCCAGCTGACTTTTGACTTAAACTTGGAATCAGTCGTTTCCTTGAGAAATCCGGCCTCTTTTAGAGGGGACTCAGATTTATTTATCAAGATTCGGAAGCTGGCTGTGTTCAACGCAGGATGTGGGCGTCCCGCGGTGGTCACGGGAAGGACGTTTTGTGCAGAGATGCCCGCAGAGGCCACAGTGCCTCCCGTTTAAATCCCGCACCGCACGACTCAGCCGACTGGCCTCTTTTCTTCCATTTCCTTTTCTCTGACCCTTCTGATTCCCCACGATGTCCATATGTCCGCACATTTCTTCCTCAAGACACAGACAACACTGCCGTGGTTTTACGCCGATGCCACTGCCAGTAACAGGCCACTAAGTGAGGTCCCCGGAGGCCTCTGGGCAGCACAGAGAACAGGTTCAAAGTTACGGATTGGACGCACGTTGCCTTCACTTGTTTCCGCCTGTGTTCAGTCGAGGGTTTGTCTCCGTCATTTTA